TTCTCTTTCAACCTTTTCTACCTTTGCTTTTTTCTTTTTTCTTTTTTCTTTTTTTCGTCCTCGTGGTCCTTCTTCTCTCCTCCCCTCCTTTCCAATGCTCCTCGTACACACGAGGAGGGGGAGGGATTCGTTTCAACTCGTTTGGTCGCTCCGAGCGAGCGTTTACCCTTTACAAAAAGCTGCCCTTAATCTTCGACGGAACCTCCTCCGCTCTCCTCCACCCTCCGCCGGGAGTTTCAAAGAGGAATTTTCCAGTTATTGGAGGAGGATATTTCTCCTCGCTTTAACGAGATAACTTGTACTCCCGCGATCAAAGATTGACAGTGGCTCCTCGAGAATCGTTCTTCGATGGTTCTTCGAATATGGAAACGAGAAGGTTAAAGGGAAGATTGGAGGTCTTTTCTCCTCGCCCCCTTTTCGGGGGAGGAAGAAAATATAATGTCGCGTCTCTCATACAGTGTATAGGCAGGCTGTTCTATTTCGCGATCAATCATGGGGCTCGTCCCTCGTCTCTCGTTGTTTCTCGTTGAGAGGATATTTCATATCACGTGTGGGGCGGAGATATATCATTTAAATATGATGAATGAACGGATCAACGATCGACAAGAGGATTTCGTGGGGCGTGAACCAATGAAAAAAATCGATTAGCATTGAGTAATTTTGCACGATGCATAGAGAGAGAGGGGAGGAGAGAAAGAACGAACTCCTCGATCGAATCCTCGCTGTTCGTAAACTGTTCCTGACTTTTATGGGAAGGAGAAGATGGCTGTTCCAAGTTTTCCAACGAAAACGTGGCGCGTGTCTTTTCATATATATATATAGATCGAGGTATGAAAAAAATATTAATAGCATTCTAAAAGTTCGTAAGTTGGTGGAAAAGCGAATGGATTATTAATGATAGAACGAGAAACGGGGGACTTATTGTAGCTTTGTATTGAATAGGGTGAAAAAAGGAGGTTGGCTATTACTCGACGTCATTTACATTTATTCGAGGTAAAAATCCTTTCTTCGTCACGGCACCGTGCAAAGAACAATCAAACGTAATTGACGGTACGTTAATTACAAAAATAAATTACACGGTGCAGGGGAGGGGGATAGAGGGAGGATTTAACGATATTCAGAAATGCCCTGGCGAATAATAGCGGAACAACAACGGTGAATAAATTAAGAACATCAAAGAAGCGACATACGTAAATTTTTGCACATACCGGAATTCGAATAATGTTCATTAAATGAGAATATATATATAATGGGTGGCGTAATTTACACGGGAGTTATCTCCAATTAAAATTTACCAATTTTGCTGCAGATATAATATAATATAGAATGATCAATAGCTTTTTTAACAATCAAGATTTCTTCGAATAAAATTTTCTTTGATGTTTCTTAGTTAATATCATTCTGACAAGATATAATCTTGATCTAAATAGAGCTAGGAAGAATGAAATGAACTACGATTTAAAAACGTAAAATAATATTTCTTTAAAGAAAGCTTAAATATAGACGAAACTATCTTAAATCATCCCTTAAATATCACAAAAAGTTCTTTACTTTGAATATTCTTGTTGAAAAACGATACACGGATATGCGTTCTATCACATCGAATGAAAATGATACGGACAAGGAAAAAAAAAAGAAAAATGACATTAATATAATGAAGAGATAAAAAGGAATAAAAATGTGTAATAATAACGATGGAAAATTCTTGCACAGCGGAATGCACCCTCATTAACGAACCGAAATGCTGGATTAAACGTTATCCGCATTTTCTACATTCTCACCGATTTAAATTCCCCCCCATTATATCGTACAAGCATCCATCCATCTATTCTCATAATCATTCCACTAATATTAATTATAACTAGCTGCGATTAATACCGACATCAGTTTCACTCTTGCAAACAACGGTTGCGGGGTAAGTTTCTCCGCTATACATCTCCCCTCGCCCCCATCCCCATCCCCACTTGTAATCGAGCTTCTCACGAAGCAAACTCATCTATCACAACAATAAAGTTCCCTGGCGATCAGTTTGGCATTTCTCGATCTCGAGATTAACGCGTGTCGTTCTCCCTCGGTGGCGCAAAGCCTCGATTATTACCGCCCGGCCTCGATGGCTAAGGTTCACTTGCTAATACGCGCGTCGAGGAGTTTCAAGCAGCGTCGGCAGTAAAGAGAGTTGCCACCGTGCGCCCTGCACGCTCGCTCGAGTTAAGTCACTCTGCAAAGTTTGCCCGAGAGAGGTATACGGAAGGCCCGTTAATGTGTCGTAAATCGTTGCTCTCGCTCCGTGCACGAGTCAACCGCAGAGATTACACTCGACCGAGGCAGTCAAAAGTGAACTCTCTCTCTCTCTCTTTCTCTCTCTCTTTCTCTTTCTCTCTCTCTCTCTCTCTGCAGCTTAGTCAAGTATCCGGTCTTAACAATGTACCAAGGATCGTACTGGCCTCGAGTATCTGTACCGTGAAAAGCGAGCCAAGCTTTAGCTCGTTTACGTGACAGAACGAGACCAGGCAGATGGAGAATTGTCACGGTTGGGAGTCGTCTAAAAAGGCGAGGCAGAGGCCACGGAATCAAATGAGTTTACACAACGACGACAACGGAGTTTCGTGAGTGTAATCAAGCCGGATTGGGATAGGGAAGCGGTGAAAAGGGGATAACCTTCTCTTCTTAGGTTGCGATTTGAATTTCCGCCCAAAGGCAAACGAGCCAACACCCACCGGATCCTGGGGATCGTCCGTCGAACGTCGATAGAGGAGATGCGATAAATTTCGATGCAATAGCTTCTTAATTACAGAAAGAGAGAGAGAGAGAGAGAGAGAGAGAGAGAGAGAGAGAGAGAGAGAGAGAGAGAG